GACTGTCTTTTCATGTGAATCAACTTCCCAGGCACCTCCATCTGGAGCCGGGCTTCTCTGATTTATCTGTGGGACAGTGGGTGGCCAAGAGGCACTGCAGGCAAACAGTTATCCACCTCGGTAATTAGGGAGGGGAAAGGCAAACACAAACACACCCAGGCTGACATTCAAAACAAAGCGGAGATTGAACCGTGATCGCTCACTGTGCCGCCCCAGGTCTGGTCTGCCGATCTGCCAGGAGGAAACCTGCCCGAGCCCAGGGAAGAAAGTGCTGTCAGTCGTCTATCAGTACAGCTGGCCTGGAAGAAGCATGGTTCTGGGCAGAAGGCTGAAGGCCTGAGTTGGGAGCCCAGATCTGTGTGTACGTAAATGATGGTGTGATCTCCCTAAATCTTCAGCAGGCTTCGGCACGCTCATTTGTAACATGAGGAATTTGGGCAAGGTCTTGACTAAGTCCCCTCCATCTTTCGAAACCTCTGACTCTCCGATCTTTTTGGTGTCTTTCATTCATTCATTAATACACATACTTATGTCTGCATTGAGTAAACTGTCAGCCTAACTGTGGGTGAAGTACTGACAGTTGAAGGCCAAAATACAGCACAACCAGTCCATCACAGTGGAAGAAACAGCATATTGATCGCTCTCAGTTCCTAGGAGGGCAATGGTATTCCAATTCTCTTTTCTAAGGAACAGGCATATTGCTTCTCTCTCAAGGGAAAGATGTGATGGGCTTTTTCTAGATATCTTTCAAAGCAAATGAACTTAGCTACTCTTTAGCATTACCCAGCTTAGCATTTACCTGCTTTTATCCTCTCCTTCTCAGCGCTACTCTTGCTCCCTACCCCCTCCACCCCACTCCCATATTCATGGCTGGGGTTTGGTCCCTTCCCGCACTTTTAATCCAGCTCAACTCAGTAGAATTCAGTTCTCACTCATGAGGCCTTTCTCAGTACATGGAGCTTACCCAATGCAAGAGTTACCTTTAAGGAGTTTCCAGTTGGTCAAGCGGAAAATATGAAACCTCAGGATAAAAATGTGTTTGGAGAAGGATGGAGAAAAGCTGGACCAGTCAGCGAGGCCACAGAACCTGGTTAGACCCAGGGGGATGTTGCATACTACCAACCACTCGTCATCCTTTCCAAGTTATCTACAGGTCTGCACTATCCTTGCCATTCTTGTCTCCCTTTTGTATATAAATATAAATTAACCCCAAAGAACGTGATTTAATCTGCTGGTTACTGATGTCTGGGAGCTATAGGATATTATCACCTAAAGGATAAATGTTCTGATGCAAAGGCTTTTGTCATTGGAGTCTGAGATACTAGCCTTTGCTAAGTGATGTGCTGTGGGGGCCAGTTTTCTAACTACTCGGAGCCTCGATTGTCCCAGCTGTAAAATGGGGATAACACCCATGTCATAGTGCCATCCTGAGAAGAAAATCAGGTGACAGCCGCGGCACATACCTTCTCCCTAGTATCAATGCTCCCTAGGCTACAGTGACCCCGCGCCAACTCAAGGTGAAATCTGGGCACAGTGGCCAGAGTCCTCTGTGAAGGACTCCACGTTAGTCAGTCTCGATATGGTAATAGTCACCTCATCATTAATGAGACAGGCTTATGTCTCATTAGGTGTATGGACAAGTCCCTCCCATGTCTTTTTTAGTTTCCAGCCCCATTATGGTTTTCTTAAAAAATAAAAAAAGAAAGAAGCACTTTTTTCATGGCTGGTTAAAATTGGTCCAATTCTCCCAAACAGAAGTGAACACAAATATACATAATTCCGGAATCACTTGTGCCCAGCAGAGGCTGGCAATGTGCCCCTGTCCAGCTGGTGCTTCCCCTACCCACCCTGTCTCTGTCTGCTCCTCCTTTTTCAGTTCCCTACGCTCACTCCCCTCTTTTCTTCCCTTCCTTTCCCCTTCGGGTGTTCAACATGTCCACCAGGTACCCCGTGAATTTCCTCTCCAGCAGGCCCCATGCTCATGGAAGAGAGACACTGATCCCGGGAATCTGGGGTGAAGAGCCTGCGGTTTGGGGGGGTTAGAAAGATGGAAGGAAGGCTCTCACAAATCTGAGTCTGCTCTGACCCCCAGACGGAACCCAATATGCATGCATTCACTTAGAAATTTATGAAGCCATATGTCTGTTGGCTTAATTCTTCAGAACAGCATTCCATAAAACTAAATTATAATCTGCCAGAAGTATGATAAAACCAGCTTGGACAGATGCGGCTACAATACACTGAAGTCACTGCTTGATACTAATGTACATTATTAAGTCAAAAGAAGAACACGTGCTTCTTGATTTAGGACGCCCCAGATTAATGTTCTCTCCCACAATAGAAATGACAGATTTCGGGCAGGGAGAATGGATATATTCTACTAAGCAATCACGAGTCAGGCTTCTAAGAAAACGGTGCCTTTAAAACAATCCTGTCTTACGCTCCTGTCCACCTCCCAGCCCTCTCCCAGTTTCACCAGAGATTCAGGACGATGCCTTTTGTCAGGGGCAGACGAGAAGCGTGAAATGAACACCACTGTGCCCAGCAGAACGGGCCTGCCGCGTTGCGTGTGGGTGGCACCTCTCTGGTTTCTCGCGCGCTCCGAGAGCACACCCCACAGAGTGCATCCATCACAATAGCCCATGTGTGACCTCTGGAAAAGTCCTTGAAAACAGTGAAACGAGAGTCTTAGCTGAAATCTGGAATCCATTCCAGTCTCACACAGGAAGAAAATTAGGCATAGAACAACAAAGCCTGTAGTTCTGAGAAACCTGGGGAAGCTCTGGCTGACATGAAAATCATAGATTTTTTTTTCTTTACTACTTTGTATTTCATAAAAGCTTTTCGTCTCAGTAACCCAAAACTGCTAGAAAATACTGTGCAGTTAGGAGATGGCAATGACTTGTTTCTCCAGGGAATGGTGCAAGCAAAATAAGAATAGAGATGCTGAGTAATGTATTAAAAGCCACTTACTTACCTAACCCTTTTGCAAGCTACTAAGGAAATGCTATTCTTCCAAAATATAAGTGGCCAACACTACCATTTTCTCCTTTGGGTAAACCTATCGGCAACAACGGGATTCGGTGTGGAAGCCTGGGGCGGACAGAATAGCTGTGTTCCCTCAGCCCTGACTCCATTATGGAGTTCGTTTGCCTGGAAATATTTACTCACTTAGAACATGAATCAGCAGAGCAGTGTGCTTGCTCAGTAAATTTAACTCAGCAAACATTTGTGGGGTAACACTATTTTTATAAGTGCAGACCAATTCCCTTCTGTCGCTGGCTGATATTATTTGCTATTAATTTGCCATACCATATGTTTTTATTTCATACGCACAAGTAATTATAAGCCTGTACTCCCTTTGGAAAACTTGTGCCTTCTTTGCCAGCAAGAAGACGGGCAGGACACTCCGAGGCAAGTGGTAGCATAAAACCCAGTGAAAATCAATTGGCAGGGAAACTGGGTTTGGAATTGCGCTTCAGAGTCCACCTCAAGTGTGTCTGGGAGGTCCCTCAAAAAAGGAGGCAGACCCTGAACTGAGCAAGATGGTTCAGAAATAGTCCATCTGGGGCATCGCATCTGATGATCAGACCAGAGCACTTATTCATACACATGAATAACTTAATTTTGTTTTCTTCTTAAGTACCTTCACAGTTCATTTTTTATTTTCCTTAAAAAAAAAAAGTAAATGGCATTACTCTGGTCTCCAAAACAGATGCCAGTTTGAACTATACTCTGCCAGCAAGTATTTGGTTTGGCACCGCAGGGCTCGAGTTGAAAAATATTTGCCGATTCCAAAAAGATTTAACAAGCTTTGCTGGAGACGTCGGTGCCATCTGGCACATCACAGGGGCTGTGGCACGGCAAAGAGAACTCTCTTGACCACAGACTTTATTTGCCAGAGGTAGCCAACACTGGGAGTTCAGTCGCTTCCTTGGGTCAAGAAGCTGCGAGTTAAATGAGTGGAGTTTCCAAAAGAAAGTGACCAAAGCCATTTAAAAATAAAAAAGGAAAAAGAAAAGAAGAAAAAAAGCTTGCTGCCACTGAAAATGAACTCACTGGGTTTTGAGGGCTCGTTTTCAGGACTGTCAAGAACATCCTCACACCAGCCACCAAACACGGTCCCTAACGCAGTCAGACAGCGAACCAAATAAACCTCCAACTTCTAGCAAAAGTGACCCTTCAGGAGCAGATAGTAAAACCTTTGCTGCAGTGTATTTTGTTGTCATCGGATGCCTGCCTAATCGTGGTGTTCGAATTGCACTCCTCTACGCACGTTGAATGACCTATTTCGAGGGACTTCACTAAATAGAACCAGTGAATTCACAATCCTTCATGTTGCAAAGTTGGACGTGCGTCGCTTTCCCTTAATGTCTAGTGGAACATAAATGCATGAACCCATCCCTGTGACTGCAAGGACTGACCTTACTGCCCATAAGCCTCAGATATTAACAGTCCCCGAAGGCTGTCACCTGAGGTCGTGTGTTTCCATCATCCTGGGAGAAAACAAAGATCTGACCCTTTCCAACCAATGTCACGTCTGACAACTATGGAACGCAAAAATCATTTCCCTAACAGTGTGTGCTTAAAATTACATAGATGTTTTCAAGGATATGGGGACAGGAAGAATGGCATTGAAACAATCACCCCCTTGAAGGAGCGAAACTCTGGATTATTTTTAATTTCAGGTTATGGGCAACTACACACATTCTTGGGAGTATCCCATCTCAGCTCCTGTGAACCTCCCCGAACTTCCACAAGTCCCCTGCACCAAGGCCACAGGTGGATCCTGTACTTGTTACGTGATCATCTCCTGCAAAGTTTGGTAACAAATATCTTCAAAGACAGAGCCGGGCTCTGCACTGCCCTTCCACAGAAAGGCCTCTTCACCAAAACAAAGCCCAGCCCTCTCCCTGACTTGACCGGAACATGGAAGTCAGAGTAGAGACCAAAAGGAAAAGTCAGCAAATAACAAAAGGGGGATTATAAGTGTCATTTACCATTTTGGCTTCCGAATGCATCGGCTGGACTTGTGGAGAAGCACAGGGGTTGCTGAGAGTCGGGCCTTGCATTCCCAGGAGGTTGGAGTTGACGGACATCTGTCTCTCCATCTAAGAGAAAGGAAAGCGAGGGGGTCAGAAGTCTGGGAAAGGCAGCCTAGGTCACAGACAAAGCTGCATTTCTCTTTCAAGTGAATCGTTTAGAATAACTTTGGATAACTGTGGAGAAAGCTTGGTTTGTTGAAGGGTAAGCCTCGAATCCAACCACATCAAAGAAGCACCGGAAGCCATGCCTGCTATGGAAGATGCCCTGAGCCGAAGAGAACTACCTTGTCATGCAGATCATTTCCAAACAAAAGTGTGGAATAGATCCCCTTTTGTAAAACATGCAAGCACCATGAATTATGCTGGTTTTTACAGCTATAAAGAATAACATATGCATAGAAAAATGCTGGAAGGATAGATAACACACCAAATGGTTACCTCAGGTTATCTGTGGTGTTTTTCCCCCATCCCTATGTTTTAGGCAGAGACAGGACTCATTTTAGCAATAAGTAAAAATAAAATTAATTTTAAAAGTATCATTGGTGGGTCGGCCTGTCGTCCTTACTCATGAACACACCTGAAATGATCCAACCCAGGTATCTGATCCCCTGCCTGTGGCATGGGTCTGCCTCCTCGTTAACCGAGTCGTGACTCTACACAGGGGTGGTGTCAGGCCTCTCGGCAGGGGAAGAAGGCTGCCGAGGCTTCCATATGACACGATCGACGGACCCCACGCTGTCCTGCTGACCCGCCATTGTGTCTAGAATTAACACCATTCAAATATCTGCATCGAGTTCTGGCTTTTTTGTCTCCACAGTGTCTCTGTCAAAGAGGAAATACAGCAAAATCTCCTTTTTTTTTTTTGGTCATGGAAGAATGTGTTTGAAGAAGATTTTCTGTTTAGTAGAAAATCAGCCCTTTTCAAAGAACCAAGATTAAGCAAATACATTGGCTGGGGCCCAAGTAGGTTCACAGATGGGAGAGTATGCAGAACTCCGAGTTTATTCTTATATTATTATTTACTAGTTGTGGGATTATTTTCCATACAAACAAGTGTAAGCCTACTTTTGCCCCGCCCTCTATTTTTTTACTGAAATCACACAGAACATAACGAGACAGTTCTAGGGGTATTTGTCCATGCAGGGGATTTTCCCATCTGTCAAAAGATGGAAATGAACACAATGGTCGGAAATCTTAGGGAACCAGGTTTCTGCTCCAGGTCGGTCTAGGTAGTCCTGGAAAACACAGCGTTCGTCATCGCGGCAGGGAAGCTCACCGGGCAGAGCTGAGAGTGACAGTTGAACTGAATGACCCTTTAATGTCTTTTCCATTGTTGAGAGTCTAGGACTGCGGTTCCTGCCGGGCCCGCCCCAGGGGCAGGGCGTGATTATGACACCGAATTCGTGTATCTGCTATCCACAGCGTAGGGGCATTGTCAAACTGTTTCAAAAGGAACTATTTAAAGAGTTTTCTACTCCTTCTTAGAGTACTTGTGCAAAACCTTTTGAGCCTTTACCAATTCAGTAACATAAAATACACCCATATTCCCCCAAATCTCCAGGCAGCACAGGGACTTGAATTTTTTAAAATTCTTTTTTAAAATCATGATGAAATGGTGCTGTTAACTACATCTGTGCACTCTAATTCTTACGTCATGAAGAAGATCGCTCTGAAAAACGCCTATTGCTGATAACTGACTCCCACTTCCAGAGGCTGGGGGACAGGGCCGTTGGTGTGGCATGTGACCCGTTCTGTCCGCCTGCTGACCATCCCCTGGAGGGAAGTCAAGTCCGCGTGAGCATTCGTTCCCAGTTTTCCGAAGGAGGAGGATCCTCCGTTGAGAAGCACCGATGGCTGTGGGGCGGGCCCCAGGCTGCCGGGCCTCCTGCGCGACAGAGCGTGAGAGGCAACTGCTCGCGGCCTCCGGACCCGCGGTCGGCCATGCTTCCCACTTTTTGGAAAAATGACAGCCTATGACTATTTCTACCCCTGTGACTCACAAATTAAACAGAATATTGAAAACAGGCTAACTTCTCTATCTAAAAAAATTGCACATTGCCCTGTAAATAATTATACAGGGCCAGCAGGAGCCTCTTCAAAACAACTGTTTGGTGATTCACACCGACGAGGCTCCGCACCCTGAGTGTGGCTCTGATGCGCTGACGGGAACAGAGGTCAGACGACGGGAGCGGCTTCGCTGAACTCAAAGCAACACTTAGCACTGTCGGCGGCAAAACTTCCAGATAAAGGAGTTCGCTTTTTTTTTTTTCTTTTTTTGAGCTTCTTCTTTTCTCTGGAAACACACTGGAGAACAGGAGCTGAAATGTCTGTACTCCACTGGGCTTTTGTTATAATATACGGATGCTCATATTCCCAAATTACTGAAGCATTTGACTTTCGAGACAGGATAAATCACAACCCAGTGAACTCTGTGAAGGCGACGCCTGCCTTGTTCGTCAACACGTCCCAGCATCGAGCATAGCAGCTGGCCCACAGAAGGTGCTGGGCCAGCGTTTGTGGAATGAAGGCGTGAATTAACAGACCCATCGTTTTGTTGCAGACCTAAGGCTTCACGAGTGTGTGGCAATAACAACGTGCTACAGATCAGTTAAGAATTTCATCTTCTGCCCTGGCTGGCATAGCTCAGTGGATTGAGCGTGGGCTGCAAACCAAAGCATCGCAGGTTCGATTCCCAGTCAGGGCACATGCCTGGGTTGCAGGCCATGGCCCCCAGCAACCGCACATTGATGTTTCTCTCTCTCTCTCTCTCTCTCTCTTTCTCCCTTCCTTCCCTCTCTAAAAATAAATAAATAAAATCTTTTTAAAAAAGTTAAAAAAAAAAAGAATTTCATCTTCCCCTGCAGACACAGACTTTCTTTCATGCCCAGGGAGTCGTGGTCCCGGGGCAGGAACTCTAGAAGAAGACCATGCTTGAAATGCCGCAGTGACAGCGTAGGAGCTGGTGACTTCATAAAAAGGAAGGACAGGCCCAGATTGCTAGAGGCGGAAACTTTTAGGACATGCTTTTTGGAGATTTTATATTGATTTTCAGTAGTCAACATCAGTGTCACTCTGGACCTCGGTTTCACGACCTCGGCACTACGGACAATTTGGGCAAGATAATTCTTTGCTTGGGCCCATCGCGAGCACTGTGGAACGTCCAACAGCGGCCCTCTCTTTGACTCACTAGATGCCAGTTGCACTCCCCCAGTCGTGAAAACCAACAGCGCCTCCAGGCACTGCCCCCAGTCGTCCCGGGTCGACAATCTCTGCTCTAGACTGACACTGCGGATGTGGCAGCGGAAGGCGTCACTGATGCGGGGTAGTGCACTCCTGTGCGGGAAGCATCTCGGACTGTTTGTCTGCGTGGCTCTGAACGATGCGCCCGATCTTTTGTTTCAATTCTGAAGCACCGACAGGAGGTCCAGTTGTGTGATTAAATGATTCGGTGCAACAAAGAGGGGCAGGAAACACGTGCCAGTCACCTTTCTCTGGGCCAAGTGTCCCACATTGGCCCCTGGGATTGGTACACAGGTGAGTCAAATGGAAAATGAAATAACACAGGTAGACAATTCTTTAAAATGCCAAAATGCCCAGCGAGGCACTATTGATATCGTCGTGGCAGAATTTTAATAGGATTGTCACGCCACCTCTGGGGTGTTTCGAGAACTCCTGCGGCCCTGCGAATAGCAGCAGCCACCAAGTGTCCGCCAACGCACAGGGCCGGGGGGACGAAGAAGGAGCACAGGCAAGGGGTCCCGTGGAAGGAGAGCACAGTGCGCTCTGGAACAATCTGAGTCTCCCGCCTGTGTCCACCTGTTGTTTTCAAAGAGGGGCAGGATACTATAACGATGAGAGGGGAGACTCGGGAGTCCGTCTACCTGGATTTCAAAACTGACACCATCACTTACTGGCTCTGTGACTTTAGTCAAGTTGCTCAGTGGCCTCATCTGCAGAATGGGGGCAAGAGCTGCACACACCTCATAGGACTGTTGTGAGAAAGGAGGGAATGTGTGTATTGGGTCGCAACTGAGAGAGTAAGCTTGGAGCCAGAATGCCTGGGCCCAAATCTCAGCCGCTCTGCTTCTCGGACAAGCAAGTTCCTTGCCTTACTTTGCTCGTTTAAATGGGGGTAGTATGAGTACCTGCCTCCTAGGGTTGTTTCATGTGCTGACGAAGTGCCTAGAGACTGACTAACCCAGGAGAGGCACCGGACAAATGCTGTTCGGATAATTAACGGAACATGATAAGCATGAATACATGTTAAAGTGACATGTGCCACCATTGTTATTTTCATTAGTAGCACTCTGAGCCCTGGCTGGACCACTCACGGTCAGTGGAAGGACATTCTGTCAACAGCCCAGTGTAGACTTTGCAGGAGTCACACAACTGTGTCCCTGAACAAATTCCGTTCCCTGGGTGTGGCGAGGTCACCCGTCGCCAGCAGGAAGATGAGCCGTGCCTCACTGGGGAAGCACTGAAGGACAGGGAAAGCCAGCAAGATGGCCAAGGATGCACAACCAGGCACTCAGAGCCACCCGGCACCCAGTTCAACTCCACCCAGAAGGAGCCGCCTTCTTCTCAGTCAGCTGAAAGCTCAGCCTTTCCTCTCCTTCTGCAAAGGGGGCAAGGCTCGGAGGAAGTGAGCAGCACTTACTGGCATCAGGACGGCGGAAGACCCTGGCATCGTCGGGTTGGGCAGGGTCCCGGGCATGGAGGCTGGCATGGGCTGTCTCTGTCTGTTGTGGATGTGTAGCAGAGAAGATAGAGAGCCTGGGACAGGCCTGGGGACAAAGCGGGAGAGAGCACACATTATTCCCGAGGCTCTGAAACTCACGGCCGGTTTCCCCGTGACCAGGCCAGCCGGGACAACACCATCATGCGAGCAGCAGATCAGATCCTCAGATGGGAGCCACGTAATTGAGGATATTGGGGAAATAATAACAAATAAAACAAAAGTCTGGCTTCCTCTGCTGCTTCCTAGTTAATACATCAAATTCCACTTCATTTCCTGACCTCTGTTACCTAACTGATGTTCAATAGACGACAAGCTGACAAATCTTCTACAACCCCCGCATCTTCGCCCAGAGACGTGGTAGTGACACCCCATGGGGACTGGGAAGTCTCTGCCCTCTGGAGGACCTTAGAGCCAGAGATGCGTGTACGTGTGTTTTAGCCACACTCTCCCACACCTCTGCCTGGAAGCCCGCCTGGCTTTGCTCTGGATACATTTTCACTCTCTGGATTTGCAGAGCCAGCTTCATTCTTGAGTTCCTAATAAAAATCTATTTAGACTTTTTCACTCTTCCACTGCGAATAGAAAAAAAAACCATAAACAAACCATCAAAAAAAATGAAAGCCGGGACACAAATGCAGGCAGCTGGGTTATGCGCACGGCTCTGTAGCTGGCCTTTCCCCAGGCGAGTCCAGAGCCCTGCCCCCAATTTCCAGTCCTTCGCTTCGTAATAACTCGAGGTGTTAGGCTGTTTGACAGAAACTGATTTTGGCCTGACCTGCAGGACTCGGGTAAGCACGTGTTCCTCGGGGGAGTACATAGTTAGAGTTTTTGCTTCAATTTGCCAGAAAATTTTTTAAGGGCCTTAAATTGATTTAATGAGCCAGGGAATATGGGGCTGAGGGAAAAAGGGAATTATTTGTGTTTATTAAAAAAATGGCAAACAAGTGACCTCCTTGGCTAAATTCTCAGTCTCCTGATGCTTTCGCTCAGGGGAGCTGTGTAAAATGTCAGACCACTAAGCTGAAGAAAGACCTAACAACAAACAAGCACACAAACACGCCTCGGGAACCTCTGAAATGGTATGTTAAGTCATCGTACCTTGAGCGCCACGATAGAAACTATTGCTAACAAACCTAACGCGTTTTCTTTAAAAACAGAAAATTCCTCCTGGTAAGCTGCACACAGAGAGGGTCTGTGCGGGCGGACGCCTCCCTGCGCTTTGGGGAGAGCCCCGTCCAGACCCCCATCGGAGCAGCAGGAGACGCCTCTCCTTCGGAGCTCCTTGGCCTCCCACGGGCGACTCATGCACGAGTGGGAGACTGAAATGGGGGAAGAAGCCAAAACGCTCTTTCTCCGCAGGGCTGTTACGATCCCAAAGAAGATTAAGTTCGCCCCCTTTTTGCCTGACAGCTCCTTTGGAAATAGAGCTCGCTCATCAGAGCTACACATATCATTAAAAGATGAGTTATGAATTAGTCAATATGTTTAGGAAGTCGTATACATGAAAATATAAAAGAATAATCTGCCTTTACACAGTCTGCATAGATAGACACAAATGAGACCCAGTTTTTTAAAGTGGAATGTGTGGACGAGTGGCCACAGAGACAGGCCGATGAGCTGAGTGTTTTCAGAAAAGCAGATGAAGCGCTTGGTTATTCCTAGACATGGGCCTGGGGGCCTTTCGGGGAGAGTCCCATGGAATAGGGACTAACAGTAAGGACTAGTGGGGCCTTTGACACCCTTCAGCTTTTACAGTTCTAGGAAACTCCTTCTTTCAAGTGCTCCAGAATTCTGTAGCAGGCTGTAACTTCACTGGGTCTTAAGGTCTCACATGACTCAGAGGCAGATACCTCGAGTCACATAGGTGCACCACGGGGCTCAGTCGACAGACAGTGTTTGGACTATGTTCTCCAGTCTTCATGTTTTGTTCGAGATGTTTAGTGCAAACAAAATGGCTGTATATAAACTATATTGCGCTTAATAATTTTCAGTTCCTCTAAAGACCAGACTAATAATCTGAACTCCGCAGTTTCACAATGAGGAACATTCATTGAGTCTCCCTACACATCATTCATCCGTCCGTTCACCCTTCCATCTCTGGATCTCTGTATATCCATGCACATAAATTAGATGTGTACACAGCTATGCATACATACATAATACATATAGATACATGCATCTTACATATATTACATACAAATATACAGCCTTCCACCACATGTCTGTTCTCCTAGACACCATGAGGAATAGCACTGCCACTACAGACAGTTAGGGACAAGCAAAAACTGTCACAGGAAAGACAACTACATTTTTGTATGATGTTGATGGGTAATATCATCCTTATGAACAAGGGGCAACAGACCATCATCATTTACATTTTTTCCAACATGACATATTAATAAAAATCTGGTTATGAGTTTTTAACAATGGGTTCTTTTTTCACAAGGAATCAATTAAACAACCTAATGGTGATGTGAATGGAGATGCTAAAGTAATTAAATTTGAAACGAGTTTTCATTCTTCCCAAGACTATGGGAAACTCCCAGTGGTATAGAATAATTGGGGAATGGTATGTTTCATTTAATTCAATGTTCTTATTAGGTCAGCCTTTTCCACATGTGCATAAATCTACTAGATTTAGAAATATCGAGTATTCTTCCATTAATTAAGAAAGGCTTTCAAGGTACTGGGTTCCCTTGGGATTATAATAATAATTACCTAATGATGCCAATCAGACCAATTAGCCATGTATACTTGAAGGGGAAATGGTTATTTAAGAACCCTGGATGTTTGGATTCTAAATAATTTTGAATTATTGTTTTATACAAATCCTGTAAATAATTCCCCAACCCCGCCAACAAAAGTAATGAAGTTTTCTAAGTTTCTTGCTTGGGCTTTTAAAACTACAAAAACTGAAAGGAAAAAAAATCGATGCCTGTCTATCACTGGGTATTAAAGGACTAGACTGAAGTAATGGTGTAGCTTGGCCCAGAACATAATCATTTGTCCAGAATAGTCAGATCATTGAAGCTTGCAGCCGGATGGGAATAATTGTATTAATTAATTCCCTTTGTATATATAAACTAATTATTATTTAATACCTTGTACTTGCATAAAATTTTTTATATTGCACTTAAAAACTGCTTCATATTTTTCAAAATATTTTCACCTTCATGTGACTTGGAACAATGCAGTGTGGGAGGTAGGGCCCATTACTCTAATTTTACTCAGGAGTAAACTGAATTCAGAAACATTTAAATTGGCCCAATGTCAGATGGGTCATGAAAAGAAGCAGGACTTTTACCCAACTTGCAAAAGAGAGTTTCCCCCATCACACCTTGCTGGATCCCATAACTAAGTTATTATTGTTTTTTTTTATACTAAAATAAGTCCACAGTCCATTTGCTTTGATAGTCACACTGCTCTGGACTTTCTAACGAAGTAGTAAAACTCTGCAATCCTGCTAACATGAGAAGTCACTCATCCATGTGAAATTATGTTTTCTTCCTTTAAAAAGAAAAAAAAAAGTACTTCCCAAACAACACATCAGCTAGACTCCGAAAATAAGATGGCAAATTGCAGGAAAGTTGTGAAAACAAAGACCCGACAGTCTTTCTCCAGTGCAGGCTTGTTGCCATGAGCTAATAATTCCAGACTTTGAGCGAGCCGAGCCTCTTTTTAATAACCACAGGCCTCTAGGTAAAGTATTTCTACTGAAAAGTATTGAGGCATGGCACGGGGTGAGGTGTGCGAGCGCACGTTGGATTGTTCACGTACCAAACTGCGTCCTGCAGCACTGAGAGTTTTCCAACGTGACGGATTACTCCTCTTTATACACTTGTATAAACATACTGCTTACGGCTGGAATCTGTGTAAGCTTTTCTTTCAATTAAAACGTCAAGGATGACAGACTGTGTTTTCACCGTCCTTCTTCACAGAATGCTAGGTACCAAAGCAAGCGATTTCATGTCCCCGTCCCCCCACCCCCCGCCCCACCACCAACTCCAAAGGATGTTTTCCAGTCTGGGGGTGTCTGGGAAGCAAGGGCTGGGTCTGCTGGTCTCCCTTGCCCGTGGACGAGCCCAGCTGTCTCTGAGGAGCTAAGGGCAAGAGCTTTTGTTTGGAAGGTCTCGGGAGGGTCGCAATAGACTGCTGCTCCCTTTTCCCTAGGTCTTCTCAAGATCCGTGACAGCTGTTAAACTCTCAGGACAGACAGACCTGCCAGGTATGTGGACAGGCGAAGGGAAGAAGCGAGCAATGAAATAATTAGGCCAGAAAATGAGATCAATATTAGCACTGGAATCAGACAACAGACATCTAAGAAACCTTGAGCAGAGTTAAAAACAAAACAACGAAAGAACCTGGAGGGGTCGGGCAGAGGGTGGGGAGCTGCGTTAAGAAAAGCTTCAAAGCAATAACATGGAGAGCAGAGTGAGCAGGAGGCCAGGTTTTCAGGGTTTCTTTGCTTTTCGACTTTCTGAAGCCAGGGAGGGAGCTTCCTCAACTTTGGGGGTCTCTGTTCCCTTGTCTCTTTAATGAATAGTTCCTACTATAGGCTGCCTGGAAATCTTGAAATTCTAAAATTCAGATCCTAGGCCTTGAAATGAAAAGTAGATGTTCTTAATCTAGCGAGACTAGCTGTTCCCCTCTAGCAAAGATTTTCTTCACTGCTCACTGGCACGTCCGCAGTGGCTAACCCAGCACCTGGCTCAGAGCAGGCGGTCAGTGTCTGCAGGAAATAAAATCAAGCCAGTGCAGCACTCACTTCTTAACGTCAAGATGGCATTTGAAACGTGAATACATCCCAAATAGCAGGTGTCACTTAAGGGCGAGAGAAGTTGGGGAAAAGGGACCCAGTGCATCCCAAGGGTCCCATACTTCTTTCTCATTTAAATCAACATAATTTCACACACAGATTAGTGAAAGGTTATTGTCACGCCACTTCCCCCATCTTTGTATTTGCTAATGAAAAGAACTGCGTGTGCCCTTTACACCTTCTTCCATGAAGTGCTGTGGCCTAACCAGGGAGACTACTTTCTGTGTGGG